GACGGGTGGTAGGAGCATGAAAAATCCCAGAATCTAATTTTAGCTAAGTGCTCCCGCCTCCCCTGCTAACAGTGAGCAGAGCTTCCCACCCTTGCCCAGCTCCCGCTCTAATGGAGGTACCAGCAGGCCAGGAGATAACCCCGCCCCCAAGCCCGTGGGGTCTCTGTAGAGGCGCCCTCTGTCTAGCACAGGGCAGGGGCTTTTCTGGCTGGGAGGGCCCCAGGCCGCTCCCCCACTGTTGAGAAGGCAGATACTGAGGCCAGTTAGTGACACAGTTGAGATTAAACTGGGCGGGTTGTTGTCCTGGCTCTGGATGACCTCGGGCAAGGCGCTCAATCTCCCTTGGCCTCAGTTTCCTCTCCTATGAAATGGGAATAGTGGTCGCTCTCATCTCAGATGGTGCCATGGCAGGCACTAGTCCTGACTCAGAGCTTGTCAATATTCCTCTGTCACTGCCCATCCCAGAGGGCCCCAAACTGATCGGTCACCCCAGACCCAGCCTGCCTCTGCACCAAGGCACAAAGAGGAAGAAAACACAGCCCTAAGCCTGCCCAAGAGCTTGACCCTAAGAACAACGGATTAACTCCAGGAACTTCCGAAGCTGGATCTTCCAGAAAGCCAGGGATCTCAGCGGAGATGGGGCCTCCAGCTATAGGGAACCCTAGGGACCATGGGGTCGACCCCTCATGGGCAGGCAGGAACACTGAGGCCCCAAGAAGGACCCAGGCTCAGGGGCAGCGGGACAGATGATGGCAGAAACAGAGCATGGCCCCAGCCTCCCAGCCACCTCCCCACCGTGGTTTTCATTGGCACCAAGTCCCACACCAGCCTGGAGGTTCCTAGCAACTGGGCCCTCTAAGCAGAACTCCTGGCCAGCACCAGGGAACCAAAGGTGGCCCAGTATCAGCTTCACCTGGCCAGAAGCCTCCCTAGGCCCTGCCAGCAGCAACCCCATCTGCACGGTCTCACGCCCGGTGCTAAGGGCCACCTCACAAACGCAGAAGAGAGGATGGGGAGACACAGGAGCCTGATGAAACCCACAAGCCCCCTCCACCTGGAGTCTTGGCAGTCAGCCAGCCAGCCCTCCCAGCACAGGTACCTTTTGAGCGGGTGGATTGGGGGTGCTGCCCGCAGCAAGGCCCCAAGAGGAATTCCCAGCAGCCCCGAATTTCTTGGCAGCTGGCCTGAAGCAGAGGCTGGCACTGTACTCCCTTTCAAGGGGGTCCCCTGTGCTGGAAGGACCCAAATTCTTACACTGCGAGTGAAACTGGAGGGGACCTGTCTCCCGAAGCCATCCATCTCACCTCTTCTTTAACTGTCTTCATTATCAGTCCCTCCCTTTGTCAGGGATGCCTTAAGACAAGAGATAGAAGGGTCTTCAGAAGGTAGAAGTGCCCCGCCAAGACAGCTCACATCCAGAGGGTGAACCGCTAAACCTCCATGCTGCCTCCTGTCCCCCCCGTCACCGCCAAGGGGTGGGGGGGGGGTTCCTCCTGGGAGGAGGCGTGCAATTCCCCCCACTCTCATGTCTGCTGCTCTGAGCCCATGTCTTCGACCCACTAACCCTCACATGGGCTCAGGGTAAAATCCAAAGTAGGTGCTAGTCACACAGAACAGCAGGAATGGGCTGGGAGAGGAGGAGAAGGCGGCATGGGAACCAGCCGCACCCCTGTGAGCCGCGTGACTGTGGGCAGACCCCGGCGCTCTGCTCCTCAGATGTTCCGTCCAAGAATGGAACAAATAGCAAAATGGGGACAAGCTGGACACAGGCCCTTGCGCACAGCGGTCTGTCCCTGATGTTTCCTGAATGGGGCCTTGCTGTTCCTTGAGTCTAGATACAATCCCTTCCGTGTAAAGGTGTGGGACAGTGGGCACAGTGCCCGGCAGCCCGCGTTCTAGACCAGCTCTGCAGCCGCCGGGCTGCGGGGGCAGGGGCCCAAGGCAAGTCATGGCTCTCCCACCTTCAGTCACTTCTTTAATAAACTCGGGGCTTTGGACCGAGCTGTCAGGAATGGGAAACCTGTGGGAGCCAGGCCATTGCTTCCATATTCTGGGGCAGTGACAGACACGATGGGTCCATCACCACACGACCGCTGACCAAGCCCAGCCAGGCAGAGTTTCAGAGTCCTCCACCGGCCGGCACCCCCCGAATGAGAGCCGGGGTGAATGACAGAAACAAGATTCTTCTGCACCTTGAAGCTCTGAGATTCAGGGACCCAGCTGGGTGACCTCGAGCCTCAGTTTCCTCTTTGGCAAAATGGCCACACCCAGCGAGATTGTGGGGATTGAGTAAAAGGATGTTTTCAGTATTAGTACTCAAAACGGGCAGCCAACCATCTGACTCTAGCAGGGGTAATTGCTACGCTCTCCAGACTCTAAGCAGGGAGCCCTTTCCCCACCCCTCACAGACCCTTGGGCGAAAACAATGTGGTCCGGTGCAAACAGCGTGGGCCCAGGTGACCTCTGGCAAGTCAGTACATGTTTCTGAGCCTCGGTTTCCCCTGGACAAAATGGGCTGATACGTCTTCTACACTGTGGGCATGAGGTTTAAACAAAGTACTTCGACAAAATGCCAGAAAGGTGATCGGCTCGGCAGATGGGAAAAAATGAGCTACTTTAATCTACCCTTATCAGGCCTCAGGGCCTTGGCATGGGAAAGACAGGTTAGTAGGAGTTGCTGGGAGCTCCCCAGGGCAAGGTGAGGCTTTCTCATCAAGTCCTCTGTGAAGCCCCACGCCACCATGTCTACCAGCAACCGTGGATACACAGGAGTCTCCACTGGTTGCCCGTGGCCTGGGGGAATTCGAATCCTGGATGTGGGAGGTGGCCTCCCATGCCCGGACCCTGGGACCTCACTGCTCCTCCCTCTGCCCCCTCCCCTTCCCTGGGGCGTCCCCTGCCCTCAGAACCAGGCCATCCTGGCTCAGGGCCCCAGAGGCTCCCCTCACTGAGGTGGGACGGGATATCTTGGAGGCCGCATCTGGGAAACGAGACCGATGGAACCGACATTCACAGGCCTTTCAACTCTGGTGTTCGTGACTGTATCTTAGTGTGGGAGAGCCTGAAGGCGGCCGCCCTCCTGCCCTTCCTCCCCATGCTCCCCCTACCCCAGAGGTGGTGTCCAACGCCCTCCTCAGGCCCCCAGCTGCTGCACGTGACCTCCACGTGGATGCTCCAGCTGTCACAAACCCGCCAGATGCACCCTTTGCACATGCTGTCTCCTGCCCAAAACACCTTTCCTGTCTTGCTTCTTGGTATACTCTAGCTCTTCCCCCAAGACCCAGCCCCAAGGCCCCCTCCTCCTATAAGTCCTCCTTCTCCCTTAGCCAGGTGGCCAGTCTCAGGCTTCTCTGGCCACTGTCGTCCCACCAGCTGGTAATGATAAGGGATGCTGAGTGGATAAAGCAGGCAAGCGGGTGGGCACAGACCCCGGGAGGGAACGCGTGCTTAGAGATACCCATGTAGCTGAGAAATAATGATTACTCCTCCAAGCTTTGGGCACCAAGGACACAGCTCACTTATTACAAAATATCCTTTATTGATAAAATAGCTCAGACTTTAAAAAAACAACAATGACAACAAACACCTGCATATCACAACAAGGGGGGGAGCACAGGCGACCATAATAGCCCAAGTCCCGGGGGACACACATAAGACCAGCCAGCAGATGTCACAAGTCAGCCACTCCCCTGGGCCCAGCCTCGGCAGTCGGGGCCCCAAAGCCACGCCCTGGCCTCACCCTGAGGTGAGGAAGGAGTCCTGAGACTGAGGAAGGAGCTAGACAGCCCCTCTCCCCAGGAAGGACTCTCTTTGGTCCCCTCCATTCTCTCCTCCCCCAGAAAACTCTCTCGGTGCCTCTCCAGATCTGGCCAGGCCCATCAGAGTGCCCACCGGGCCTGTGCTGCTCAGCCCCAGCCCCATGCTAGCTGCCCGCTGGTTTCACGTCCAAGCCAGGCACTCCTTGGAGAATGGGAAACATCCTTCAAATGCTCCCCAGTGTTCTGGGCGCCAGGTCCCAGGAATGGGGTAACAACCAAGAGGAAGAGGCCCCTGGAGCCCCATCCATGGGATGGAGCAACGTGGTTGGGTCAGAGATGGCCAGCCGGCCCCCACCCCATCTGGAGGAGGGTCGCTTATACATCACAGGGACCCACTGGGAACTTGGAGACCTGCCTGGGTGCTCTGGTGGGAGGCTCCCGCAGGAGTCCCCAGCACCCCACCTGGGGGGCTCGGTCGGTCACCCACCCCAGGCTCTCATCCCAGACTGCTCCCATGGCATGGGTATTTTTAGCCCTCTTGGGAAAACAATTAGCCCGCTTGATGACAAAAGACTTTTCCCCAACTGGGGGCCCCAAGTCACTGAAAAGCCCCTTGGTGGTGTGGGTGAAAACGTCGAGAAGTTGTCACGCAGCATAATAACTAAACCCTTGCAGGTGTGAGAACATGTTCTCAAAAAATCCTTTGACTGAAATAGTGGTTCTCTCTACCATTCCCCACTTCCAGTTTGGGGTAAGAATTCACACACCCCGGGCACAGAATTAAAGTCTATACAGGAAGACAGGTGGTGGTAAACACAGAGGAAGGGGATTTTTATATCACCAAATAATCACATTTTCTGGTTCTCTAGTGTGTTCCCCCATGGCGCTCAAAGCTTTCTGCAAAGCCTTTCATCTCCCTGCAGCAAGTGGGCGGCAAGCCACCGTCGCCGGGTTTTTGCAGGAGGTGAATGCTAGTGATCAGGGATCTCCCGTTGAGGCAGAGGCCAGGCCTCCAGACCGCCCTACCAAGGCGAGGCATCCACCGGCACACACCCACCTCCCAGAGGGGGAACGGGTGAAGAAAATGATTCTAGAAAAGGTTCTGGCCTTTAAAGGAGCTATGAATCCAGAAGTAGATGGAAAGGGAAGAAGGCCCAGAAGCAGTGCCAGACCATAAATCCCCCCCCCCCCCCCCCCCGCACCCAGCGCCTGACAGGGACCACAGACACCCAGCTCGGATCACTCAATCCTGCCTCCCCCTCAGCGGCAGGTGTCTCTGGGAAAAGTGGCAGGCTGGCTTCCTGCTCTCTACCCGGGAGGATGCGAAACAAACACCACAAGCAAGTGACCAGCCAGGGAACACTGAGTCCTTGAAGAAGGAAAGCCCTCCCGTTGGCTTGCAGGGGTCTGGGGTACTGGGAGGGAAGGGCTCTATCCTGGCCTGGCTTTGGAGGCTTCAAATGGACCCCAGTGAGCACCCCTGCCCCTACTCCTCTCAGGGGGCTGCCAAGATGAGGCCTGCTAGACCCAGGCAGGAACCAGAAAGCCCCAGGGAGGCGGCCACAATGAGGGGAAGAATCAGAGTGGCCCGGGTGCCACCTGGCACCAACCCCATGCGGGTGGCAGGCAGGTGGCTCACCATGCCGTCTGGGTCCACTGGCGGCAAAGGATCCTTCGGAAGGCACGGCGAAAGTCCTGGTTAAAGATAGTGTAGATGACAGGGTTCAGCGAGCTGTTACAGTAGCCAATCCAGAAGAAGAACTGGAAGAGGCCATGGGGCACCTTGCAGCGCTGCGGGCAGATGGCACCCAGACTGTAGCTGAAGAAGAAGGGGAACCAGCAGAGCACAAAAACGCCAATGACCACGGCCAGCACAAAGGTGAACCGTTTCTCCCGAGTCAGCTGTGCCCGCCGCCGCCACCACTGCCCACTCGCGGTGCCCACACCTCTGCCCAGGAGCACCTGGCCACGTAGGGTTGCCAGCACCCGGGAACCCTGTGGCTGCTGCAGGGGTGGGCTACAAGCTGATGCAGGAGAGGCTGGTAAGGCCTGAGGCTTGCCTTCCTCCTTCTCTTCCTCCTCCTCCTCTTCAGCTTCCTCCTCTGGAGATGCCCCGCACACACCTTCCTTCTGACTCTGGCCCGAGTTGGAACGGGCTGACCAGGTGGGTGGCAAGGCAGGGGTCCCGGGATCTTCAGGGGTATCCCCCTCTTCCTTCTCCCCAGTAGGCTTAGAGTGCCCATTGGCCTCCCCAGAAGCCACCAGCGAGGCCAGGGTAGGCAGTTTGGTTGAAGTCCTCGTAGGGACTGAGCGTGGCTGCTTGGACTCACCTGCCCCGGGGCCCCCCTTGGCCCTGGGACCTCTGCGGTGGCTGCGTTTGGCAATCAGGTAGATGCGCAGGTAGACGAGGATCATGATGAGGCAGGGTGCGAAGAAGGACCCGATGCTGGAGGCCAGGATGTACCAGGCCTCCTGGTTGAGTTTGCACTGGGGGCGCCCGCGGGGCTGGGGCCCTTGGTCGCCCTTGTAGATCAGCGGTGGCAGGGAGATGACGGCTGCGATGAGCCACACGGTGAGAATGATGCACTTGATACGGCGCGGGGTACGCTTGGAGTTGTATTCCAGCGCCCGGCTCACCGCCCAGTAGCGGTCCAGGCTGATGGCGCACAGGTGCACGATGGACGAGGTACAGAAGAGCACGTCGAGCGCCAAGTACACCTCGCACCACGTGCGCCGGAAGTACCAGTAGCCCAGCAGCTCGTTGGCCAGCGAGAAGGGGATGATGAGCGTGGCCACCAGGATGTCGGCAGCAGCCAGCGACACCAGGAACAGGTTCTGCGGGGCGCGCAGCGAGCGGCTCGTCAGCACAGCCAAGATGACCAGCGCGTTGCCGAAGATGGTGAAGAGTATGAGGAACGTGATGACCGCCGCGATGGCCGCGGTGGCCTGCACCGAGTAGGGCTCCTGGTGGTCCATGGCGGGGCGGGACGCGCGTCCAGAGGGGTCGCCGCTCGCCCAGCGCGTGCTCAGCGGGCGACAGCACTGTCCTGCCCAGCTAGGCTAGACGGGAGGATCAACCCCCTGGCGGCGCGGAAGGCGCTGGAGCCCCATGGCCAGGCCGAACGGGTGCCTAGAAGATCAATGGATGCCTGGGGCCAGCCACCGCCCTCCTACATCCTCTTCCACCAGCACCCGGCGTCCCTGCCGTCACCCCCGGAGAAGTTTTCCAAGTTGTCCCGTTGCCGTCCCCGCCCCGCCCCGGGACCGGGGGAAAGTTGCACCCTCCCGCTCTGAGGCTGCTGGACCTACGCTGGGATGCGGGGCCCGGCGGGCTGGCCGCGGGGTCGCGCCACCGATGGTGGGAGGCGGCGCAGAGGCCGAGGCGCCGGTTCCGCTCGCTGGCTCTAGCCAGGAGCCGCGCCTGCAGGCAGCCGGCCGCGGCAGGGGAATGGGAGGAGAGCGAGCGCGCTGGAGGGAGGAGACTGGAGGCGGGAGCAGGAGGAGGGGAGGAAGGCGGGGCGGGCGGGTGGACCCAGGATGGGTGGAAGGTGCGCCTGGAGGGAGGACTCGCCGGCCGCAGCCTCCGCGCGCAGCGGCCCTCCGCCCTGGCTCTCCTACCCGTTTTCTTCCCGGCCTCTGAGCCACGGGAGGTCCGAGAGACCGTCATCTGGGGTCTTCAGGACTCCGGGAAGGATCCTTGCAAAAGTGGAAGGGCTGGTTCTCACGGCGGGGAGCTGGGACCGAGGCGGGACCTCTCGCCTGCAGACCCGGTCGGAGCACCGAGATCGAGGACCGTGGGCTCCGGCTGATCGCTCCTCCCGCCGCGCAGGAGCCCCAAGGAGAGGCTAGGTGGGTGTGTTGGGGCACCGCAGCGCACTGAACCACACCACCTACCCGGCGCTCGAGAAGGAAGCCGAGTGGAAGGAGGAGGAGGGAACGGGGAGACTGTCCGGAGCCCCTTCCCCAAGCGCTTTCTTGACCGGACTCCGTCGGGCCTGCAGAGCGCGTGGCCGGGTTGCGAGCGCCCCCTGCTGCCGCCCGCGTGTCGGTAGTCCTCGCCGCGCTCTGCGGGCAGCGAGGTTCCCAAGGCTGGTGGGGACGGGGAGTGCTCAAAGATTTAGGACTTCAGCTGTCCGCCCCCACCCCAACCCCACCGCTGCCTCGGTTTCCTCCACTAAGGGCAAAGAGGTAAGACGAAAACTGGCTTTGATTCCAATCTCAGCTTTTTAACACAGCTCAGAGAAAAAGTAGATCTCAGGGGCAGCTAGGCAGGGAGGAGCATCGCTTTAACTATGTTGTCACACACACACACACACACACACACACACACACACACCCCGCATTCCTGCGGACTCTCCCCACATAGTCACACCCCTCTTGGAGTGGCTGTAGAAGGAGCTGGGTAAGAAACTTCAGATGAATCACCCCACCCCATCCCATCCCCATGCCAGACTCCAAGAACTTACGCTCTCCCTCTGGCACCCTAGGCCCTACTTACTCTCCCTGTGGCCACTGCCACCAGCACCAGCCTAGAGCCCCTGATGTCATGCCCCAGGCCTTGTATTTATAGCCCATATCTCTGCAGGACATCCTCTGTATAAATAAGCATCAAGACACCCCGAAAAGTAGGGCTCCTCGAACGGACCCGGACTTGAGATGGCGTGCGTGCTGGACCTTCCTGCCTCCCTGCTCCGTCTTCATGAGACCAGGGAATGACCTCACAGTGCCCACAATGTCTCACCCTTCCCCTGCCTCACACAACAGGGGTGGAAGGGTTCCTTGAGCCAGGGCTGTCCCCGCCTCCCGCCACCTTACTCAGCGCCTTTGTGAAGTCTGAGCGCCCACAGCCTGATGGTGGGAGAGGACAGCCCCTCCAGAGACAGGTTTTACAGCTGCACCCCCACCTGCTAGCTGGGCTGAGCCTGGGGTGGCCAGAGATGGAGGGGCCTGAGCAGCCCCCTCCCCGAGGCTGGACTGAGGGACCACTTTCTCACCATCTCCAACCACACTCACACTGGGGGGCCAGAGGGTATCTCCCCAGACACTGCAGTCAGCATCAGCCCTTTGTTTCCTGGCCCAAGTTTTCCTCAAAAGGCACCAGGATCCCGAAGGAGCTGTGGTCAGAGCTGCTCAGACTCTGTCCCCTGCCCCTTCCCTCCACTTGGGCCTTCCCCAAACAGGCAGCCAGCTCTGGATCCACCAAGTGTCAAGCCCTACCGGGCCCAAGCTCCAGTGGGGACAGCCAGGGACAGTCTACAGGCATCTGTGAGGCTCAGCCACAGCCCCAGGGTCTGTGTCACCTGCTGCCACCTCCCAGCCCCACCTCCCAGATGTGTAATGGGCTCTTGGGGGCAGTGGAAGCCATTACATAAGTTGATTCCCACCCTTCTCTGCAGCTCTCTCTCCCATACACACCTTCTGGGGCTGCCTGCTGGCCCCAGCCCTGCATGAAACTGAGCCTCAGGCCATAGCTTTAGCTATTCCCAAACTAGAGCTGACCTTCCATTTGCATTCCATTCCACCAGGGTTCCATTCCACCAGTGGTAGGAGCTGCCTCAGAGCAGCCCCAGCAGGGCACTGGCCTGCCATCCTGGCTGCACCAGCTTACCTAGTGGTCCCTGGACGTGCCCTGAGCTCCCACATCTCCGGTCCTTCCCAGGAGCTCATTGCTACTTCTGTGCTTGGTGGCCCTCCCACTCTCCAAGGTCCGCTCACCTCTCACCCACCACCCTTCCAGGGAAAAAGAGGTACCCTGCTTTCCAAGTTCTTGGACACCGTGTACACAGTACCACGGTCACAGCCAGAGAAGTACTGAGAGGCTGGTGGACGACAGCACACATCCCTTCTCTGTCCCCAGTACTGGCCAAGGTCCCTGAATGAGAAGGGGGAGTGACAGCCTGGCCCCAGTGGGGGACATATATGAGCCGCTCTCCAGTAGTGCCCAAATGAAGGTATCCCCAGAGGATGCCCTTGGAAAGGGGTGGGGGGAGGTTACCTAGTACCATCTTTTCCAAAGACATGGGAACAGTTAGGGACACGGGGACACCTTAGCTGAAAGCCCTGGAGCCTCTTATCCAGGCCTGAGTGCCAAGACTGGCCCCGGATTCTCCCGTGCCAGGGCTCCATGGGACTGGGGCCCAACTGGGCTTCACACCCCGGCTCTCCCCAGAAGCCCCCACCTTTCAAATCCCTAGGGCCCTCTCCTCACACCACCCCATAGGCCCCAATCTCCCCACCCTCCCAGTCCCTTGATTCATGCCCTCCATGATGCAAGTCCAGAACCCTCTCCTCCAGTGCACCTCACCTGACAAAACCCCAACCCTGGGTGGACCTCAATCAGCCACCTGGCTTTGCTGGAGCAGCTGCTCATTCTGGAGCGAAACACTCCCAGCATCGACTGGCCTTGCTTTAACGGCGTGACCACACATCTCAGACTTCCCTAGGGTACTCACCTTCCACCCCCGCCTCCCAGCATCAGTAGCCCGCTCATCCTTCTTGCCCGCACACCCTCCCCCACTCCAGGACATGACTTTGCCTCCAATCTAGAAGATTAAGGCCCATGGGCCGGAAGTTCCCCAAACTCACTCACCCAAGCTCCAGCTCTGCTGGGAAGGCAAGACCTCTGCAAGGATCTCAAACCCTCTGTGTCCTCCAGGACTCTGCTCCTGCAGTCACCCCCTCCAGCGTCACGTCCCCTCCCCGAGAAGCCCTCTATGCCACCTGCCACCATCTTAAACCATTCTCTGTACAATCTCTACCCCCTCACACCCTGCCTTCCACTGAATCTATTCCTGGTGGGTCATTCGTGACTCCTGACTCCACGCCAAGTGTGTCCTCCTAATTTTTCAGCAAGATTTTAGACAACAGAATGCTCCCTTCCTTGAGAACACGGCAGGCTCGAGGCCACCCCTTCCTTCTTGGCCTCCTTTTCTCCCCCCAAACTCCCAATCACGGATTCTCACTGAGCGGGATTTTTCCCCCCCTTCTCCTCCAGGAACATTGGGCAATCTGGCACCTGGAGACATTTTTGATGGTCACAACAGGAGGAAAGGGGTTGCTGCTAGAATCTAGTGGGTAGAGGCCAAAGATGCTGCTGAACGTCTTACAAAGTAAAGGGCAGCCCCTGCAACAATTATGAGGCACAAAACACTAATAGTGCTGCCCTCAGGTCACAGCACCCCTGTTCAGTCCTGGGGTCCCTTGTCTTCTGGACCCAAACTCTTAGTAATTTCATCCAGCCCCATAGCTCCCACCTAGATGCTGAGGATGCCCTGAAGTCCATCTCCTGCCCTGAACTCCAGGCTCATTCAGCCCACACCCTCCCTCACCTCCCCTGAGGTCTCCACACCGTGCTGTATGTGGTACCCTCACCCCCTGCATCCCGTAAGCAAGTGTGATTGCCTTAACTGTCAAGGCATATTCCAGAATCCCCCACTCCGCCCCCTTCCACAGCCCCATCGCTCTGGCTTGCACAACTATAATGCTTCCCTGCTGTTCTCCCTGCTTCTAATCTACTCTCCACAGAGCATCCAGGAAGGCTTTTAAAAGCTTCTATCTTATCACTCCCCTCCTTAGAATCCTCCAGCAGCTGCTCCCTGTTGCTCTTGGAATAAAATCATCCCTCTCTATCCCTGCCCTGCCAGCCTCCCCTGCCCCACCATACATCATCCCTCCACTCCGACCTTAACTCCCTCCTGCCTCAGGGCCTTTGCACCGGCTATTTCCTTGGATTGTTCACAGAGTAGTTTCTATCATTCAGGTTTCAGTTGAAATGCCAACATCCTAAAGGAACACCCTCCTCCATCATTTATAAATCCCTGATGACTTTTTATCTATTTACTGTCCATCCTTTGTCCACCCCCAAATAAACTCCACAAGAATGGAAACCCTGCCATGCTCACCATGTTACTTCCAGTGCCCATAGCCGAGCCAGCCTGGCACCTAATTCAACAGAGTCGGTCAAGTAAGTGAATAAATTGAGGAGTGAGGACATGTAGTTATGTGGCTGGGGATTAGGTAATAGGGAATAGGCCACGGAACCCGGGATGGGTGGCTAGCTACCGGGTTCTGGTTAACAGCCCTCATCCCATCCATGGCATAATCCCCACACCAGGGCTTCAGAGGCTGAACCAAGGCTGGACCATGGGGGCAGGGTGGGGCTTGTTGAACAGGCCTGGGGAATGGGGTCTGTAGTGACAGGTGGCTTCAGGGTGGAAGGGTAAGGACAGCCCTGGTGATGACCCTGCTTACCCCCAAAGAAGAGGGGGGGAAAGCACTCTTCCCCTTGAGCCACCAAGCTCAGCCAACCCTATGGTCTAGAGAACCCAAATTCTGGAGAATCCAAAAGCCATGTCCTAATGGAAGCTAATGGCAGGCAGCGTCTGAGAACTGGGAGAGCCTCCAGGGCACAAAGCTCCTCATGGCCTCTGACCTAGCGTGGCCGCCAAGAAAGCCCAGCCCAGAGCCAGAGGCCTGGCTCTACCACCAAAAGAAACCCATAGATGGGTCTTTCTCTGATAAAGAGGGGCGCTGTGTAGGCTCCCGATCTTCGCTTGGGAATCTCCCAGGGGAATGATCACCCTGGTGGGAACAGGGCCAGAGCCACTCCCTGCTCCCTCTAGGCTCACTCAGCCCCTCTCCTCTCCTGCCCAGGGGCAAGCAGAGGGATCACGTGTTCCCCAACCCATGATCTTTCCCTGAGGCTAATACCTGAGACCAGGCCTCTGCTCAGTCTGAGGAAATCCCAGACTCAAGACAGAAACCCAAGATGGACTGAGGGCAGAGGCTCCAGCCACCCTGGAGCATAGCCTCACGTCCCCAGACTGGCCCAGGAGGCGGGCAAAGGCCAAGCTCTTCCCCAGCACTGAAACACCACAAGCCTCAGCCCTGCTCCCTCAGCCCTGCCCCTCTGCTGCCCTGAATACCTCTTCCCACCCCAATCCGGGAAGTGGGTATAAGGCCCTGAAGTCCCCTCCCAGATCAGTCAGCAGGGTTAAACGTACTCATGCACAGCTCAGCACCCGGTTTCTGGAGCAAATACCCAATATTTATTTCTGCCTTCCCACAGAATGTCTGAGGTGCTTGGCCCCACAGGGCCGGGACACAGGCTCCTACTCCCCCACCCCCCACTCCAAGCAAGGCTTCCACAGGCTTCCAACAGGGAACCAGAATAGTTCCTCTCCAGGATTAAGGGGCTCCTGGCCTGTAAGCACCCCAGACTTTCTTCACTCCTGGAATAGCCTTCACCCAGCAACAGGAGGTAAGGACAGGGCTTTGCTGAAGAAGGAAAACAGGTTGACACCACACACACACACCCCACCCCAGTCCCTTCCCAGCCACCAGAGACTTCCCAACTTGACTCTGTGACCAAGTCCCTGACTGGTGGAGGTAGTGGGCTCCTGGGAACGGCAAAGCAGGCTGGAGAGGAGGTTTGAGTCCTAGGTCAAGGGCCTCCCATTCTCGCTGAGCTCCCCCACTGTGCAGTGCTGGAGGCCTCCACCCCTACCTCCTTACCCCCTGGGGTAACATTCCGGTCACTGGAGCCTCCCTGCACTGCAGGGGAACAAGCTGAAATCCCCTGGGGGGTGGAGCTGGAGGCTACAGATTCCGAGCACTCAAACACCAAGGATGTGAGGCCATTCCCAGGGTCCCAGCCACAGGCTCCCCAAGTCCTGGCCTGAAAGAGAGGGGCAGAACCTGGGCATGCTGGGGGAGCTGAAACTCACCTACAGGAGGACTCCCAGGGTTCTGGAGCCCTGGAGAATATCCTCTCCCCTTCCCAGCAGCCCCCAGGGCTAGGGCAGAAGCTGAGAGCAGGCAGAGCCAGGCATCTCTTGACAGGCCTGTCTTCCCCCGATAGACCTAGAAGTCCCCTTTGTCCCCAGGAGCCCTCAGGAGAACACATGGGGAAGGAAGGGGCAGAGGGAGAATCCTAGGCCTCAGACAGGGTAGCTAGATTGGGGCTAGAAGACCAGACACTGCCTGGAAAGCCCAGGTGTTACACAACCCTGCTCTTCTAGACAGAAGTTGCCCTTCCCCCTTGGGGACAGAAGCCACAGGCTTGACCTCTGGGCATCCCCCTGAAAGGACTTTCAGGTACACCTGCTCCTGGCAGATCTGGGTTCCCCAAAGCATCCTGGATAGGCACTAGCTGGCCTTCTGCTTCTGGAGATGTAGTTGGGGGTACAGAGGGGGCTTGGGCCAGTCGGGACCTCTCTAGAACACCAGGAACACCTGCTCCAGGCCTGGAGCTCAGGGAGGAAGCCGGGGTCTCAGGCAGCCTTGCAGAGGCCCCCATAGCGACCTTCCTCTGCGCAGGGAGCTCCCAGCTATGTGAGCTCTCTCGGGGCCCTACAGCAACATGTCGGCCTCCTGCCTTGGGGCCACTGGCATCGGGGTTCCCAGATTCTGCCAACAATGCCTTCAGAAGCCGCTGCAGGGATGGTCTAGGGGCAGGAGTGGGGCTCCTACCATCGCTGTGGGGCTGGAACCCTGTAGCAGGAAAGACAGGAGGTTATGTCCCAGAATCGCAGAAGGAAAAGGTACCACCCCACTGTAGAGCCCCGGAGCCATCAGCCAGCCTCCTTGTTCACAGCTTACTGGAGACAGCCTACCACACCCCGCTGAACACCTTCAAGACCCATGTTCTCAACTCCTGCTGAAAGACAAGGACCACAGAACCATCCTGTTCCCTCCCCTCTTGGTCTCATTAGTCCCCACGAGCAAGTCAGGCCACCAGGGTCCTCTATGATCTCCCGCCTGTACCCTAGGCTGCTGACGGTCAATGCACTGGAGAGCCAAGGGCTGACGGCACTGAGGGCACTGTCCCCCCACCTCCTGGGCCCTCTGTACTGAGCAACCCCCACCTCTCCCCCCAATTTTGAGGTCTTCTGCAAAATTCCTCCTGCACTTGTAACTACCTCCATCACGGTTGGGCACATGCACTCGGCAGGACGGGGCTGTCTTGCTCTTCATGGCCACTCCTGAACCATGGACCCAGAGTTTTAGACAATTCTTCAACTTAAACCCAAGTTCTAGCTGGCCAGACCCCTCCACCCCACCTTGGTGCTGCCTCTCGCCCCTGTCGCACCTGCCCATGCATAGAAGGCTTCACAAGGAGCCCAACCGTCCATCGACAGACACTGACTGTATCAGGGCTGATCTGCTTCAAACAGCAAGTCTTACCTCTCCTGGTCCCAGCTCACTCCCCCACACCTGGGCAGTGCCAGAGACCACCACAGCAGCCATCTCCGTTCCCGGCCGCCCACTCCTGTACTTCTAAGCTCTCTTGTTTAAGTATCACAACTCCTGCTCGACTCCTGCTCTGCCACCTCCTCGCTTCCAGACCATTCTCCACACCCGCCTTGGGCTCCACGGCCCTCACTGCAAGGACTCCTCAAGCACCTTGCCCATAAAATCCCAGTCCTGGAGAACCAAGTTGCCAACCAACGCTGTGCCTCCCCCTGGCCGCCAGCTGCCCCGGCACTGCCGGCCACGCTATGGGGTAGCTCTAGCTGGGTTCTTCTCCTGCCAACTAGACCGCAGCATCACGCCTTTCCCTTCACATCCATCGCCCTCTCCCCAACCTCTAGGCCAGTGACCTCATGTCATACTTTGTGACTAAAACCCTCAGAAGCCCATACATCAGCATATTAAGATCTACATGCAAGGTTAGGTCCGCTCCGGTCTCCCTTCTCATTAGGTCCAAGGAATCTCGGACATGTTCTCGGAGACCCAAACAGCAAGGGCAGCTCCTACCCAAATGTTCTAGATATTATTCCCTCTGCCTTGTGCATTTTTTTCCCTTCTCCATTGGATCATCATTTCAGCATCCAAACATGCTTGAATATCTACCATCATGATAAACCTGCTTTCCTCATAGTAGTCCAAACTCTAGAATACCCACCAAGCTCTTGCCACATCATCTATTTTTTTTTTTTAAAGATTTTATTTGACAGAGAGAGATCACAAGCAGGCATAGAGGCAGGCAGAGAGAGAGAGGAGGAAGCAGGCTCCCTGCTGGGCAGAGAGCCTGATGCGGGGCTTGTTCCCAGAACCCTGGGATCATGACCTGAGCCGAAGGCAGAGGCTTTAACCCTCTGAGTCACCCAGGCAACCCACATCATCTATTTTTAACAAAAAAAAAAAAAAAAAAAAAATTAAAAAATTTTAAAAAATAAAGGTATGTAGTACGTGATGTGATGTATGGGAAAGAATAGCATAAAAAACGGTGCTAGAACTGGATACTCACATGCAAAAGACTTAGGATTAAATCTTCAGGACCTTGGGTTAGGCAAAGCCTACTTAGATAGGACACCAAAAGCACAGTTAAAGGATAGAGAAGTTAGACCCCCATCAAGATTAAAAACGTTTGTATTCAAAGGACACCAACAACCTGTAGAATGCGAGAAAATATTTCCAAATGACAAGTCTGGTAAGGGACATGTATCTAGAATACAAATTGCTGCTTACAACTCAGCAATAGAAAGACAACCCCAGTGAAAAGGGGGTAAAAGGATTTAAACACATATGCTCTTGAAGAGCATATATAGATGACCAAGAAGCATATGAAGAGATCATTAGGGAAACGCAAATCAAAACAATGAGATGCCACTTCATACCCACTTAGAATGGATGTAGTCTGAAGAATAGAAAATAGCACGTGTTGGCAAAGACCTGGGAAAATTTGAACCATCACACACTGCTCATGGGGGTGAAAAATGGTACAGCCAACTTGGAGAAACATAGCACTTAAATCTGGAGTTACCACAGGACCCAGTAATCTATCCCTAAGTGTATATCCAAAGGAAGACACCTGTTCACATAAAATCTGATATACAAACATCTGTAGTAGCATTAATCATAATAGCTCAAAAGTAGAAGTAACCCAAATATCTTTTTCAACTGATGAACGAACAAAACATCATGTCCATACAATGGAGTGTCCTTTGACAATAAAAGAATGAAGGACTCCTACCTGATACCATATGGATGAGCCCTGAGAACATTATGCTAAGTAAAAGAAGCCAGTCAAAAAAAGAGCCTGTACTGCAGGATTCCATTTACATGAAGTTTCCAGAATAGGCAAACCTAGAGAGAATGTAGATGGGCAGTTTCCTAGAGCTGGGATTAGGGACACTCACACACACATGAGGGAGGCTGAAGGGCTCGTGTTTACTTCTCATTTGGTTTCCTTTGTGAGGTGCTTGTTTGGTCTCTTCCTGTTTTTCTCCTTTGTACTTCCAGCTTTTTCTTATCATGTATGTTATATTAACTATATAATATATATTATGTATTTGGGATACAATTAATTACGTGTTACAAAAGTCCTCTTCTGACTCGTAACATTCTTTGTCCTTTGATTAGCAGTTTTACGAGAATAACTACATAGGAGATCTTAGTGTAGTTGGATTCATGAATCTTTCCAGTTTTATGGGTTCCTTTGTGTCTTAAAGAAATTCTTACCTATCCCAAGGTCATGAAGGTTTTTACTATTTTTTCCCCCCTAAAGTTTATTCTATTTATATGTAACTCTTGTATATATCTGAGAGGAATTTGTGCAGGAGTTGGGAATTTTTTTAATGTATAACTAGTCCTCTGAGAGCCACTCAGTGACTAGTCTATTCTTTCCCTAATGATCGGCAGCGCCGCTTCATCAAGGCTCCACTTCTGAGAAGTCATTTATGAACTCTCCGTTCTGTTTCAATGGGCAATGTTCTATCCTAGACACATTTTATGTACATACATTTCCTGTATGTATTTTATATGGATACATTTGTACAAATATTTTTTAAACTATATATCTTGATATCTGGTAGGGCAAGTCCCTCCACTTCATTTTTCTCCAAGAGTATCTTCGCTATTATTTGCCTTTTGTGTTCTAATTTTTTTTAAGATTTTATTCACTAGTCAGAGAGAGATGGCCCAAGCAGGAGGAGTGGCAGGCAGAGGAAGAAGCAGGCTCCCTACCGAACAAAGAGCCCAACATGGGACTCAGTCCCAAGACTCTGGGATCGTGATCTGAGCCGAAGGCAGATGCTTAACCGAGTGAGCCACCTAGGCATCCTGCCTCTTGTGTTTTCGTGTAAGTTTTAGAATCACCTGGTCAAGATTGCCAAAAAGCTTCTTGGGATTTTCAGTAGGAACTGACAGACTCTATAGATCAGAATGGACATTTTTACATTGTCTTCTTATTAATGAACAGGATACATATCTCTTATTTGAGAATCTTTCATGATTTTAATGAAGGTTAATTTTCCATAGAACTTTTTACAGAATTTCTGTCAGATTAATCCTTGGGACCTTATTGCTATTATAATGGGTTTTTTTTTATTATGTTTTCCAACTATTGATGTAATCATATAAAAGTTTCTATACAACTGTCTTTTTTAAAATTCTTCTTGCAGGGGCACCTAGGTGGTTCAATGAAGCATCTCATTCTTGGTTTTGGCTCAGGTCATGATCTCAGGGTCATGGTGTCAAGCCTCACACCAGACTTAGGGGAAGCCTGCCTGAGATTCTCTCTCTCCTCTTCTCCCTCTGACCCTCCTCCCCAAAATAAATCTTTACAGAATAAGAAAATTCCTATTGTTTCCAATAGTTTGTTAATAGGTGTTGTTGCTTTCAATGTAGATAATCGTCATCTATGAGCAGTGACAGTTTTTGCCTCCTTCCTAATCTTCAGATTTTTCATTATTTCTCTTGCTGTACTGCAATGGCTAAGACCTTCACTACAGCATCAAACAGACGGGACAATAGTGAAAAAACCTGTTTTGGTCCTGATTTTAGCACTTTTTACATTAAACAAGACTTTTGCTCTGGATTTTTTATAGATACCCATGTTAAGGTTGAGAAAGTGACCTCTAGGGACATCTGGGGTGGCTCAATCATTAAGCCTCTGCCTTTGGCTCAGGTCATGATCCCAGGGTCCTGGGATCGAGCCCTGAATCTGGCTCCCTGCTCTGCGGGAAGCCTGCTTCTCCCTTTCACACTCCCCCTGCTTATGTTCCCTCTTTTGTGGTCCCTGTCAGGTAAATGAAAAAGTCTTAAAAAAAAAAAAAAAAAAGCGACCTCTATTTCTATTCACTAAGTTTTTAATCATAAGTAAGAATTTTCAAATGCCTTCTCTACAGCTCTTGTAGGGAACCCCTAACAATTTCGTCCTGCTCACCTCTGCAACCTCAGTCCTACCACTTTACCCTCATGGACGCCACCCTCCACACAGGAACCTGCTCCAGATTCCTCAGATCACCCTGCCCCTTGTCACTCACCTCCACCACGGGGGCCTTGGCCACTCGGGTTGCAGTCATAAAGCCTGAGGACCCGTGTGATGTCCGAGGTGCTCAGATTCCATCGCTGGCCAATTTGGACACCGGGAGCCCAGAGGGGTGTGATGGTGGGCAGCCCCCGCCGGCTGAAGGCAAACCTGAAACCCAGCAGGTGGGGAACAGAGTCCAGAGCACAGTGGGGGCTGGCAGGGCAGTGAAGGGAAGAAGGAAAGGAAAGGGGGTCCTCACCGCCCATAGTGCAGCACTGATGAGTAGTCATAGGGCACCAACATGTTGCTGCTCTGAGACTTGATGAAGTTGATTTCAAAGCCTGGGGGGCAGGGGTGGAGAACAACCACAAAACTTGGTGATGGGGGGTGGGGAAGAGGGCAGGGGAGGGAGGGGTTAGGTGTTAGGGACCTTCCAGGAACTTGTAACCTATGTGAGCTGAGGAATCTGAAACCATACCCAGATGTGCCCCCCACCCAGTACCATTCCCTGGTCCCCACTTCCTTGGTGCCTTCATTGCCTACTCCTCCCCTCCCCAGGAGGGGTCTAGACCGGCACTAGCTGATGTGGAAGCACAGGGACCTCATGACTTCCTAAAGAGTGTCCTCCACTTCCTGCCCCACCCAAGCTCACCCAGATGCAATGGTCTTTGTAGAACCTACACTTTCCACGGAGTCGCACACTACTGTGTGTCTTCAACACACACACACACACACACACACACACACACACACACACACCCCAAGAGAAAGAGTACCTACCCTTCAACCAGCTCTGGAGACCCACCAGCCCATCACCTGCCCTTGAACTCCCACTCCCCAGCAGTAAGCCACCTTGTTCTTTCTGCCCTGGGCCAGCACACCCACGCCCCAGGTTGGAGTCCAGCAGTTCCCCACTGGCCAGAGCACTCACTTTTCCCCTGTCACTGCCATACTTGCCTCTAGAGAGTTCTTCACCCTTCCCTCTAAAAATCCTTAAGATATTAAACAGTTTTGAATAGGCACTATGTTCACCTGGTTCAAAAGTCAGAAGATATTGAGATCTATAATAAGCCTCCCACTCCATCCCCTTTCTGAGTTCCTGTCTCCCCACCCCAGTTCATCACGGTCATTAGTTTGTATGTCTTAGCAGTTTGTTCTGTACAGAATATAAATGTATTCTCATTTTTCTTCATTCTTAATAAATGGGGGAAATTGCTTAAGAAAACCACTCGAGGGGCGCCTGGATGGCTCATGGGTTAAGCCTCTGCCTTTGGCTCAGGTCATGATCTCAGTCAGGGTCCTGGGATAGAGCCCCGCATCCGGCTCTCTGCACAGCGGGGAGCCTGCTTCCTCCTCTCTCTCTGCCTGCCTCTCTGCCTACTTGTGATCTCTCTCTGTAAAATAAGTAAAAAAATCTTAAAAAAAAAAAAAAGAAAGAAAGAGAAAGAGAGAGAGAGAGAGAAAGAAAGGAAGGAAGGAAGGAAGGAAGGAAGGAAGGAAGGAAGGAAGGAAG